ATTTCTGTAGAGATGAGGTCTCGCCTGCCCAGGTGGGTCTCAAACCCATAGGCTCAGGCAATCCACTCACCTCAGCCTCCTAAAGGCGTGGGATTACAGGCTGAGCCACCGAGCCCGGCTTGAGTTAATCATTTTTATTGACTATGCCGCACCGTTCCCTTTCTACGTGCACTAAATATTCCTACCAAGCTATCAAATGTGTATTTTGATAAGACGTTTTGCATACAGATACAGAAAATATTTTTTCTATATAAAAGGGTGGCTTTTTAGCCAGGCGTGGTAGCGCGCGCCTGTAGTTCTGGCTACTTGGAAGGCTGAGGTGGAAGGATCACTGGAGACCAGCGAGTGGAGGCTGCAGTGGCTGGGAGCGGCCACTGCACTCCAGTCTGGGCGACGGAGTGAGACTCCAACTCAAAAAAAAGAGAAAAGGGTAGCTTTTCTCACTTAAAGAGTAGACTGGCTAACTCTGCTTCTAAGCAAACTCCAAAACTACCTTGAAAAGGTGGAAGAATACTTAGAATTAAAAGAACTTACCTTAGAGACTTAAGTCCCCAACATCAAACTGACACCCCAGATCTCGCTGTGATAAACCAACACAAGTTACCGCAGGGGGTAGAGACCAGCTGGGGTCAAGTCATAGTGCAAGTGGTAACGGTACAGAAAACACTGACCTTCTCAAATGTGAAAACGTCCCGTCAAACTACTGGCAATATACATAAGCTCAAGAACATCACAAGAAGCAAATAAAAAGCCGGGCACGGTGGCAGACTTCTTTTTAATAGATATGTTTTAAACAGATAACAACAAACGAAAAGATTTCTCTAGTTCCCGGCAGGGAACACAGTGCTCGGAAAGCTGTGTGTAGTACACACTGACCCCAGGCTGCCTGCAGCTCCCACAGCCTCCTTTTTGGAGAGTGGCCCATCTTCACGGTGGCCATGCAGGAGACATGCCCGCCGCCACCATGTGAGAAACCACCGGGCACACACTAGCACCCGGAGTGAGGGTCCCGTCTCGAAGGCGTGTTCGGCCGTCAAGAGAAAGCACACTCAAGAGAGGAAAGCCCCGGGGAGCACCCACCCGAAGCGGCCTCACCTTCGGTTCTGGCTTTCTTGACTCCAAAGGCTTCCGAGTCTTCCAAGCATCGCTTTCGATTTGTCCCCACGCCAACGTGGCTAGGAAACACGCTCTGATGGCCCCCGTTTAGGGCGCCATTGTTATAGAAACGGTTCAGGTGACAGTTCTGGAGGTTCAAGAGAAACTGGGCACACGCTTGGAAACCCTGGGTATGTGCAATGTCTGCTGCCGTCAGGCCACTGGCATTTCTCAGGCTGCGTGACACAAAAACATGGAATTACAGCCCGTCCGCACGCTCCCCCGTCTCTGCTCCTGCTGAACTGACTAGCTATCTGAAGGCGACATGAAGAGTAAGCACATTTACAGCAAATCTTCATTACAGAAGACGTTCTCAACCTAGCTCTGTAACTAACTTCTGATTTCTAAGCAAGATTTGGGAGATGGTAATTTAAAACAATCAATATACTAAACTTTAAAAAGCCATCTTCCTATTTAACTTCTCCAAATCATGTTTTATGTTAGTCTGAAGAATCTAGATTTATGCTAACTTCAGACTTAACCCGAAACTCAATTCTGTATTATCTGCACTTAATTGTCATAACCCATTCCTTTAGCTTGAGTAAAATCATAACAAACAAACATGTATTGAAATTGTCCATGGCATTCATAACTGGCTTCCCAGAACCAAAAGCAACGGCTTACCAAGCCAGACTTTATGCTAGCAAGTGACACTATAAGTGGAAGTTCAGAAGATGTCCTGACATGAAGGCAACCTGTCACCAGACTCAAGGTCTGAGAAGCTCCAGGTTTTTGTGTCATATTTTGACTGTTGTGCCGTGCTTAAGAGAACTTGCAGGAGCAGTGCGTTTCAGCGTTCTGGAGATCTGAGTGCCTGCTGCCTTTGAAAAGCTTTTCAGACTGTCCTGAAAACTCACTCCTCCCGCTCAGGAACCCACGGCTCAGTTGGCTAAAAAATACTAAAAAGCCACTGTCCTCTGGCACCGAAGACTCAGATTAAAGTCGGAAGTGATGGCCAGACCCAGGGACAGGCAAAAAAGGAGCGGAGCGTAAAAGGATCGCTGGTAACTGCGCAGGTCACCGAGTTACAACCGAGGGGCCAGGAGCGGCTCCAGGCTGAAGCCCCTGGAAGACACGGACTGCACTGGCCTGTGAAGCGAGCCTGCAGAAAAGCCAACCCTCTGCGAGCCACAGGGAACGACCAAAACTGGAGAAGCGCGAAGCAGCCAAGAGGCACCCACCTCTGTCCAGCAGGCTGCACTGCGTACACAGCAAGGCGCCAAACGCAGGCCTTATTCGGGTCATTGAAGCAACCAGTCCAGAGCCCTGACCCGTGTTTCTTGGGGCTACTGTTGGGGGGAAGAAGGAAGCTACAGAATCAGGGAGAAACAGCATCCTTTAGGAGGGCAACAACCGCCTGCAACCCTACTTCCTGCCATCATAAAGATCCAACCTCAGAGATGAATAATCTGTTTGGGGACACTCACTAAACGTATCTCCACTTTTTAAGGCACGAGACAAATGCACGATACCTTTCAAAAAAAAGGCCCAAGCCCAACCTGGTCAGATATGAAAGATAAAGTTTGAAAATACGAGGCAGCTGCAGAACTGTTAGGGACAATGGACATTTCTATTTGCCACAAGACTTCATGGCTGTGAATTCTGGCGAATAGTATCCTAGTATTTCTTTCTTTTTTTTTTTTTTTTTTTCTTTGAGTCAGAGTCTCACTCTGTTGCCCAGGCTGGAGTGCAGTGGCACACTCCTGGCCACCACAGCCTCGACCTGCAGGGCTCAGGTGATCCTTCCGCCTCAGCCTTCCAAGTAGCTAGAACTTTAAGCGTGCACTACCACGCCCAGCTTATTTTTTTATTTATTGTAGAGACGAGGTCTCACCAATTTGCCCAGGCTGGTCTCGAACCCCTGATCTCAAGCAATCCTCTTGCCTCGGCCTCCCAAAGCGCTGGGATGACAGGCTTGAGCCACCGCGCCCGGCCTATCAATCACATTTGTACAAAATAAAATCAATATGTGTATAAATTTTAAGTGTACAGTTTTATCATATAGCTGGATGATTTTTTAAATAGTGTACTTCATTTTCAAAAGACATCACAAGCGCTGTCTATGCTATCAAGAATGTGAACAGAAAAACAAGCTGACATATGAAAACTTTAAAGCTCTTCCCATTTGAAAAGATAAAGACTATGAATGAGAACATAAGCAGGTTTATAAAATGATCATTTCTACAGCTAAGCATGGACTTGCTCTCCAAATCAAAGAATACAAAAATGAGGAGCTGCCACATAACACTAAGGACAAATAAAAGTAGTAACTTAATAACACTCACAGTGCAGACTCTTTACTGGATTAGAGAATGAAAAACAATAGCAGAGTTTTAAAAATGGCCTTTACAATCATAAATGCCAGTTCACTGATGAAAATAAAGAGGCCTAAGGGGCATGCCAACATTCTGAAGTTGGTAAAAGAACATCCCAAACTCTCGATGCCTTTATTCCTCATTCAGAAACGGAACACTAGACCGAATTTGGGTTAGCACAGCCAAGTGTACTGTTCTCCCAAATAAATAGAACCTTGAAGAAAAATGGGCAGCAAAATGGCGCCAGTAAGTGGAGATCACTGCATAGCACCTGGCTGAGAGCACTTCTCACACCTGGTGACACTGGTGAGGGTCCTGGCACACCTTCTCCCCTGCGCAGGTGGCGAAACCCTCGCACGGCACTTGGCTTGGACCAGAGCTAACCCCATTTCCAAAACGGACTTTAACTACAAGAAGCGCCCAAAAGGACTGCAGCCCACGTGTGCCGGGAACTCCACATGAGGACGAGGGGCATAGCAGGAGCCACACCCAGGTCACTGAACTTCTGCATCTCACAGAGTTCGGGGACCGACCGTTAGACATGATGAGCAGAAAGAAAATGCCCTGGGACTCTCACAAGCGGCCCTGAACATCTATCATGCGGCTCCAAAACAGCGACCGGGGTCTGGCAGGAGCGAGACACTGCCAGTGGGGCAGGGCCCACCTAACACCAACAAGGTGCCTGAGCCCAACCCAGGCGAAGTGGGGTCCAACGGGAGGCCCCAAACCTCGCCTGCTCCCCAACCACGTATGGACCCAATCCTGACTTAGTCCCCGCAGCTGCAGAATAAAATTAAATTAAAAGAGAAAGAAAGCAAACACACCTCTTCTCTGATTCTACCGAGCTACACTAGCTTTCAACCCTCGTGTCTCCTGTGTTTCCAGAGGCCAAGCGTCCACAACACACAGCTCAAGTTCAAGTGCTCATGTCATCCTCAAGCAGAGGCATCCAAGCCCGACCGACCCCCCCCCTCCTGGCTTCCTCTCCTACTTACCTGGTCATCACCTCCATTCTCTACGCATGGGAAATGTCCTCATTCTCTGCTCACATTAAAAAGCACTTTGCGAGTGGTGGCTCGACTGTGGCGTGCACAGTACCGAAGCTGGCCTGGAGCGATGGCCAGGGTCCTCCACCAGGGGAGACCGTTTCCTGTGAAGGACCATCTGTGAGGACTCAGGCCTTGCCGGCCACATGCTCAGCCGCAGCTGCTCAGGTCTGCTGTAGCCTGAAAGCAGGCTCAGACAGGTGAGTGTAGCTACGTTCTAATCAACCCTTACTTATGGACGCTGAAACTGGAATTCCACATAATTTTATGTCAGGCAATACTCTTGGTTTTTGTTCAACCATTTAGAAACGTAAAATCCATTCTCAGCTGACAGGCCATACAAGAACAAGCAGCAGGCCAGATCGGCCGAGTAACATTAACCAAATAGATACCCATAACTAGCCCTCTACTTCTTCGTTACAACTTGGACAATAGGCACATGACATTTGTTCACTTTCACAGGGCACCTGATGAGTTCCAACACAATGCACGGCGATCAAATCAGAATGATGAGGATATCCACCGCCTCCAACATTTCTCGTTTATTTGTCTCTTCTAGCTATATAAAAAGGTAAACTAAGTTTCAGTTGACGACGGTCGCCCTATCGTGCTACGTAACACTAGAACTTTCTCCTCTCATCTAGCACAACTCTGTATTCTTTAACCCATCCCTCCCTCCCCACCTTCCCCTAGCAGCCTTCAAGTAAACACCACTCTTTTAAGAGACTGGTCTGGCTCTGTCACCAAGGCTGGAGTGCAGTGGTGCCATCAGAACTCACTGCAGCCTCGACCTCCTGGGCGTGAGTGTGATTCTTCCACCTTGGCCTCCAAAGCAGCTAGGACTACAGGTGTGCACCACCACACCTGGCTCGCTTAAAAAAAACATTCACAGTCAGGGGGCCTCGCTATGTTGCCCAAGTTGGTCTTGAACTCTTGGCCTGAAGTAATCCTGCTTCAGTCTCCAGAAGTGTCAGGATGATAGGAGTGAGCCATTGCACAAGGCCAAGTAATCCTGCTTCAGTCTCCAGAAGTGTCAGGATGATAGGAGTGAGCCATTGCACAAGGCCCAGATACTTTCTACTTCAATGACACCTTTTTTTTTAGCTTTCACGTATCAGCGAGATCACGGAGCATTTATCTCTCTGGGTCTGGATTATCTCACTTAACATAACATCCTTCAAGTTCCACATGCTGCCCCCAAATGACAGAAGTTTGTTCTTTTTATGGCTAAACAGTATTCCACTGTGTCTATTTTCCATACACATATGTTGATAGGGCAATTCCAAATCGTGGCCACCGTGAACAGTGCTATCAAACACAGGTGTGGAGGTCTCTTTGATACGCTGCTTTTCCATCTGGACTGGCGGACCACATGGCAGCTCTAGTTCTGGCCTTTTCCAGGACCCTCTGGCTGTTCTCCATGACAGCAACCAGCTTCCACCCTCACCGGCAGTGTGTGAGCACCCCTTTTCTCTGCGTCCTCACCAGCATGTGGTTGTTTGGCTTTCTGGTAACCGTCGTTCTAACTGAGGCAAGAATGGTGTCTCGCTGTGGCTTCGAATCTTCAGAAAGAACGCTCTTTCACCTCTGATGATTCCTCTGCTCTTACCTTCTTTTTTAATAACAGAAAAATGCCTCTCTATGAATTTTATGCCCCAGTCAAATAAAAAGACAACCTTTCAAAAGTTGCCGAGTCTGTCACACAAATGTTAAACACCAAGAGAAATCTACAGGCAAACTTTAGAAGATGTAAAACAAGAGACCTGGGAGCATGAGCGGGAAGGCAGCCGTTCCTGGTCCTATGGATGTCTCAGG